CAACAGCCGTGGCCCCCGCCGGCGGGGCGGAGCCGGCCGCTGCAGATTACGGCTCATCATTTCAATATTATGGAGTACCGCTGGCGTCATGGGAGCGCCTGCACCCGGGCAGCACTGCGCCGCGGCCCGCCCACCGCGTGCCCCCCCCCCCTGCCGGCGCGCTCCCCGCAGGTCAACGGCAGCGGCGCTGCCGCCACGTCGCCGTTTGCGGCCGGCACCGGCGGCGCGTCTTTGAATGGCAGCACCAGCGACGCGCAGGAGGACAATGCGGACGAGGTGAGTGCGGCCCGCCGCGGCCCCCAACTTGTTGCGCCCGTCACCGCTCGTCACCCTTGCCGCGCGCCTGGCGAGTCGCGGGTTCTTCCCCTGCCCCCTGTCCCCCTTTGCTGTTCCTCGTGCCCCCCTTCCTCCGCCCGTGCTGCGGCGGCCGCGCCTCTTCTTCCGGCCAGCACCGCACGCCTGTGCCGCACCGCTGCGACCCCGCCGTTTGCGTTCCAACCCCACCGCCGCCGCTGCTGTCGCCGCTGCCGCCGCTGCCGCCGCAGGTCTTCGAGGCGCTCGACGCCGCGCAGCCGACGCTGATGCACTCCCTGTCGGTGCACGTGGCGCCCTCCACCCTCGAGTGGCAGGGCATCGGCTGCAGCTACATGACCCCCACTGGGCCTAAGGAGGTTTTGGCGGACGTTTGGGGCATCGCGCAGCCCGGGGAGATGCAGGCGCTGCTGGGGCCGTCGGGCGCCGGCAAGTCCACGTTCATGGACATACTGGCGATGCGCAAGAGCATCGGAAACCTGTCGGGGCGGCTGCTGGTCAACGGGGCGCGCTCGAGCAAGCGCTTTATCAAGAAGACGGCATATGTGCCCCAGGTGGGCCATGGAGGGTCCGCAGGGGTTTGACTGGGCGCCGGTTTTGGGACGCGTGCACTCGACCCGGCGCACGCACAGGCAGGCGTGCGTTCTCACGCCAAGCCGGCCGCTCCCGTGCCTGCGACGTAAGAGACGCGCGGGTTTGCAGCATGTTAAGGTACCAACCCCGCCGCCTCGGCTTTCGGTGTGCGTTTCGTCATCATTCCAGGAGGACAACTTTGTGCCGACGATGACGACATGGGAGGTCATGAGCTTCTACGCAGAGGTGGGTTTTTTTCACAACCAGCTCAGCTGCCGCGGGGCCGCTTTGAGGCTTCTCAACGAATGCCTTGCGCATGATTTGGGGACGGCTGCAGCTTCGCGCATGCATCAGGGCGTCGCTGCTGAAGCTCCGGAGCTTTGTTTTGGCCGCCGGCCCCTGTGCAGACGGCTTGAGGGTGCCAGGCCGCGAGGCGCCCCCCTCCGCACGGCTAAACAAATAGCGAGGGCGACGCCAACTGAAGCCGCTTCTCATCGTGTCGTCCGCGCCCGCCCGCCTCCCACACAGATCATCCTGCCGGGCAAGTGGTCACCGCAGCGCCGGAAGGACCGCATTCGGGAGGTCCTGTCGGAGGTCGGCCTCGCGCACGCCCACCGCACCATCGTCGGCGGCATGCTGCCCGGCGGCCTCATGATGCGCGGCCTGAGCGGCGGCGAGCGCAAGCGGCTGGCGATCGCGACCGGCATCCTGGCGGCGCCATCTGTTCTCTTCCTGGACGAGCCGACCTCGGGCCTCGACTCGTTTGCGGCACTCACGGTGGGGCCTGGGGCAGGGGCGTAAAGTTTTGCAGCGGGCGCGAGGGTGTCCAGGGGCCGTTTTGGGGAATGTGGCATGCTGCAGGGCTTAGTGCGGCGAAACCAGCTGCGTGCATGGAGCCATGCATCCGGCCCAGCCACCAACCGCAGAGGGGCGGCCCCTGCCGCGTTGGGGCCTCTGGCCCAACGCGGCTGCAGGCACGGGCCCATTCCCGGCTCAGCTTTGACACCGGCAGACGGCGTGCAACGGACCTACGTATGGCGGCCGCTCTCCTCCTTTCAAACCCTAACCCCTTGACCCCAAACCCGCAACCCAAACTCCGACCACAGGTCATGGGCTACCTGAAGCGCATGGTGCGTGAGCAGAGCCACGTCGTCATCGCCTCCATCCACCAGCCGCGCTCCGCGATCTGGCTGATGTTTGACGCCGTCACGCTGCTGGCCAGCGGCCGCCTCATGTACCACGGGCCGAGGGAGGGCATCACGCCCTGGTTTGGGTCCCTGGGGTACCACTACGACCCCAGCCTGCACGGCGTTCCCTCGGACTGGTGCGCCCCGCGGTCCCGCCTTGCTCGCAGCGCGCCGCGAGCGGACGCACACAATGTCGCGCACCCTCTCTAGCGTTGCCAGAGGGCGGCTGCAGGGCTTGGGTTTGCTCCCCTCGCGCTAGCGGCGCCACGCCCGCGCGCGCCGCACCCCTGCCCCGATCCTAGCTCAAACAGTCACCCCCCAATAAGGCCGGGCGCCCAGCTGCCCACGCCCGATTTGCTGAAGACAATCCAACGCCTCTCACCGCGCCAGGGCGCTGGACCTGGTGGCCATTGGCTTTGCCAAGCCGGCGCGCTTCTACGGCCACACCATCACCACGCGCGACGAGCTCCTGTCCGTGTCGTCCAACTTCAAGGTGCAGTCGGCCGCGCGCGATTTTGCGTGGTGGCCGGGGAGTCAGGGGCTGTGAGTTTGCGGGCGCAAGGGTTCTTATCGCATCCGAACAGAAGGAACTTGCAACCCCGCACGCCCCATGCCAATACCCCAAGGGGTTTGAGCACCCCTCAAACCCCAATGCTTCAGCTGAGGCCACAACCGTTCCCTTGCAATCCCCCCCTTCAGGCCCACTACCTCCAGGAGAACGGCCTGACCGGCGCCGAGAGCGGCGAGGGCAAGAAGGACCGGCTTGGAAACATCATCCACGTCCCCAGCGCCAGCAACACCGCCGCCCTCGCCTCCGGCGGCCAGTCCCCGAGCGGCGCGCGCGAGTCTGCCGCGGGCGCGGGCGGCAATGCGCTGCTGGCGGAGGCCAAGGGCGGCGCCGCCGCCGACGCGACGTTTGCGTCGAGCGCCTGGAAGCAGTACAAGACGCTATTCGGGCGCGAGCTGCTGGCCATCACGCGCAACCCCTTCGACGTCGCCGGGCGCACGCTCACGTTTGCATGGGTCGGCATCGTGATGGGGATCCTCTACTACGGGATGCCGGTGAGCGGCCGCGTTTGACCAATGTTTGACTGGGGCTTCACTGGGGGTTGGTGTGTGGGCGTTCGGTTGGTGTTTTCTGGAGGTTTGGGATGCCTGCACTTGCACTCCGCCTTTGCAGAGGGTGGAATTCTGCTGCTGTGGCGGTGGGTGAGACGGTGTCAAAGCAAGGACGAGGGCTGTGGCGGTAGGTGAGACGCCGTTAACGTCCGTGCTTCTCAATGCTGCGTACCTGTCACCTGCTTTTTCTTGAGTCAAGAGCCCGTCTGATCTCGCAACGCCCTCGTTTCCCACCCCCTTTCCCCCGCCCCCACCCCAGTTCAACGCCGGCAGCGCGCGCAGCCGCCTGAACCTGGTGTACATGCTGCTCTCCTTCTACTGCCTGATGCCCTACATCTCCATGGGGCTGTACAGCGCTGACAAAAAATTCTACCTCAGCGACGCCTCCAGCCAGCTGTACCGCCCCCTCGCCTACTACCTCGCCAAGGTGCGGCCGCGGACTCCGCCCCTTTGGACTGCGCAAATCCACCACTGGACTGGGCTGGACTGCAGGCAGTCCAGCCCGGGGTCCTTGCTTGCTCGCCCTTGCTGGCTCCTTTCCTGTTGGGCTTGCCTGCGCCTGAGCTCTTTGACAAATACACTAAACATGTCTTGCCCCCCATTAAATGGCGCCCGCAGATCTCGGCGATCACGCCGTTCCAGATCGTGTCGGCCTGCGTGTTTGGCTTCACAGTGTACGGCATGGGCGGGCTGCGGCCCGGGTACGAGGCGGTGCTCAAGAACGGCTTCATCAACACCGTCATGTACCTCATCGCCACTCAGGTGGGCGGCCGTCGGGGTTCAATACTGGGGCGTTGCGGGTGGGTCAACTGTGCAATAGCGGCCTGCCTGATATCGGAGTGCAGGGCGGTGGAGAAGGGGCGATATAGTATGTTGCCAGCTGCCGGCTGCCGGCCCTCCGCACAGGGCCCAGCCCTTCCCACCAACTGGTGCTAGGAGGTCAGCGGCGTCCATTCTGACACCAAACTCAACTGATTTCCCTGGGTCGCCCTGCCGCAGGTGCTGCACGCGTGCGCGGTGATCGCGCCCAACCAGGACGTCGCGTTCATGCTCTCCATCCTCTGGACCACCATCCAGCTGCTGCTCTCCGGCTTCTTCGTCAACTTCCCTGAGGTGCGCGCCCGACCCCTTTTTACTGCCCCCGTGTCTCGAGCGCTTGTGATGCTGCCCTGCGTTCCCGAGCGTGATCTAGGCGCTGCTGATCTGACCTGTGTCGCCCTCTAAGCCCCAACTGCGATGATCCCTCTTCTCAACAGGTGCTGAACTACTGGATCACCTACCTGCGGTACATCAGCGCCACATACTACAGGTGGGTCGGCGGCAGCGCCGATTGTGGTCGCAACTCACCTTGGGCCCCGCCCAACCTCATCGACTAACCCCTTTGCGCCCTGCTTTGCCTTGGGCATCCGCAAATAGACCTTGATGAGGATTACTTGGAGATCTCGACATTGCCGGCTCCTAACCCGTCGACCTGCAAACCGCCCCGCGCCGCCCCACCGTCCAGCTTCGAGGCCGTGGCGATGAACGAGTTCGGCGGCGTCTACCTGTCCTGTGCCAACGGCCTCAGCGAGACCGAGGTGGCCTTCCTGCTGGGCGCCTTCCCCAACGCGTCCAACCCCCAGCGCAACCAGCTGCGCCTGTTCTTCGCCAACCCGTCCCCGGACTGCGTGCTCGACACGAACAGCATACTGACCTACTTCAACTTCCACCGGCCGTTCTGGATGAGCGCGGTGATTCTGCTGGCCTACCTCGGGATCTGCCACCTGCTGACGTTCGCGGCCATGCTCATCGCCGCGCGCCGCGAGCGCCGCTGAGCGCCGCCGTGCGTCGACGGGCGGCCGCAGGTCGCGGTGCGGCGACGCGCCCGCCCTACGCGGATTGCGCACGCCCAGCGGCTCGCGCCGTGCGGCACAAGATGTGGGCGGGAGCCGAGGCCGAGGGCCTGCGCGCTGCGGCCCTCGCCGCTCATGTTGCCCCGCCCCGGCGTGGACGGGCACACAGCCGGCTGGACGGGTCAAGCGCGAGCCCTTTTGCCACGTGCCCAGGGAATGATGCAGTGCGGCGCGCCAGGCGCGATTCGGAGTACTCATAATTGATCCTGTTGGATTATGTAGGGCGACTCTGGTGGCTCTGACTTGACTCATAGGGTCGCCCCCGTGTTGATGCTCTTGTGTTGGTCACGGCGGCTGCGCGGCGCACGCGGGCCCATCAGCGCCCCGCCCGCCTGCCGGCTGAAAGCGCCCCGTGTTGGGTCGTGGCTTTGGGTTTGTCGCACAAACCGAGGCGCGCGCCGGCTCGCCCTCACCTGCCCCTTGCACCTCGGCTGTCAAGCACTGCGTTGCGGCGCTGCGTCACTGTCCCCATCTTGCCTGTCGGTCAGCGCCTGTGAGCGCGGCCCCAGCCGCCGGAGCCTCTCGCTCCCAGCTCTCTCTGTCTGCGCCTTCGGCCAAGGGGCGCCATGATCCCCCGGTTGCCCAAGCGCGCTTCTTCTTTCATATTAGGCAATCACTCGCCGCAAGGCGACCAGCGGCCCATGTGGCCGCTGACTTGATTTGGAGCCCTGGGCGAGCCGGGCCGGGCGCGGTGCGGTTGGCTTGCCCACGAGCACGCTTTCCGCAGACGGCTGTGTGCTGTCAGGGCTCGAAGGCTCCCTCTCCACCCGGCCCCCGAGCAGCGCAGGCAGCAACTACTTCATACACGAACGCTCGAACCTTGGCGGCCTCTCCGCGCCGGCGCCCTCTCCTTTACATACTCAGCCCTGAATTGCTGGTTCCATCATGAGCTCATGGTCGCTTTGAGCAGCAGTGATAGCAGGCAATTTGCAAGGTGCACTCCTCTTGGGCTCCACTTAGTAATATTGCAAACGCGCGCTGTTCTTGGGTGTCTTGATTGCATCCACGCGTGCATTGTGACCTGTTTTTGATGGTACCATGGGCCCCCACCAAGGTGGGGCAGCTTGGCGATCACGGCAGCTAGAAGGGGGTGAGGGGTTCGGCGCAGCTCAAAGTCAATCGATGGGTCTTCGGATGCACATGTGCCGCGTGAGGCGGCTGCTTGTGGATCCACGGCAATTTTCAAGGAATTGATCAGCCCAAGGACGCTCTTATCTGCAGGGGGCATTTGGTTGGCAAGAGGCCCGCAAACCAGAGTGACAATGGGTGAGCTCGGGCATGCACGCACACAGCAGCAGACATCCCAGGGCAGATGTCGGCACAGCAGCCCGAGTTTCATCGATATTGAAGCGTCGTGAGCTACAAAATTGCATGAGTTCGTTTAAATTGCTGTCAGAGATCATTTCAAGACCGGACGCGGTCAAAGTAAGCGGTGCTGCTAGATCACAAACTTCGCTGGGCAAAGCCTGGATACTCTGCCATGACAAGTATCAGCCGCTAGACTGAAGTACTTCATCGGAGGAGGCACAGGTGATGGGCGAAGCTAGCAGATCGGTGTAAAGTACCAGCAGCACGCACCAGAGGGATCAATAAAGGCATGTAACAACACCGCATTTCAAAACAAGTACGTTTGGGGTGAACTTGCATCCGCTCTGCAGCAACCCGCCAAGCTGCGGCACCCACCTGTGGCACACTGCAGCACACAACTGTATGCATGTGCACTCGCATGGCTTCTACGCATCCCCATGTTGAAGATGCCTCCTGTCGGGAGCGACGGCCAGCATCAGGGCGGCCGTGCGACGCCGCCCGCGCCCGAGAGCCCCCTCTGGCTGCCAGCTTTGGCACAGGCCGCTGGGGGGGCTGGGCGCCTGACCGACGCTGCTGCGGCCGGCGCGCTGCCACGTGCCAAAGACCTCCGGGCAGCAGCTGCATCTCAGATAAGCGACCCTCGCCAGCTCTTTGACGCAAAAACGCTGACTCAGCAGCAGCTGCCCCTGCAGCCGGGGCGCGTAGCACCGAGCGGATGGCATTCGGGCGCGGCACCAGCGCTTGCGCGCGCGGTACACCCGCCGCCGCCGCGTCTGCCGGCGATCGAGCCGCGGCGCACGGACACGACAGTAGCGCGGGAGCGGACAGAGGCGCTAACGCAGCTGCGGGCCGGCGGCGGCGGCTCCCTCGGCGGCACGAGCGCAGAGATGGCCGCAGCCCCAGGAACCTCCTTCGAGGGAGAGGCAGCCCGGCACCACATGCAGGACCCCCGGCAGCAGCATGCAGGCACAGACGCGACCACGCACGCGTCGAGTGCAAAGTCGGCGGCTCGCCGCGGCAGCGGCAGGGCGGGGTCGCCGGCGGCGGACGCAGATCACGTGACAGGCGTCGACACCGGCGCGGGTGCGGTCGCCTTTTTTGGTCGCCACGGGCAGGAGGGCCCCGTGAAGTTCTTCTACTGCAGTAGGTGAGGCCAGCGCGGCCTACCCCCTGCCGCATCCCATGGCCGCCCTCGCAACCGCCTCCAGCAGCAGACCGCACGCCGGCACTGCAGCATGCAGCGGCTTGGGCACTGCAGCTGCCCCCGCGCCTGGGCGGTGCGGCCTGTGCGCCCAACGTGTCACATGCCGCCGCACCCCCAGGGCCCCCGAGGGCGCCCGATTCCGGCCGTATGACCTGGTAGTCGTACCGCGCGAGGAGGTGCGGGACGAGTACTTCACCATCAGCGCCACTGGCGTTGTGCGCATCAAGAAGGGCGCGCAGGTGCGCCGCCGGCCCGCATGGGCAGCGGCCCATTCGGAAGGGCCGACGCATGCGCATGGCTGCTGCATGCGCATGGGTTGCTGCATGCGCATGACCTGCCGCACGCGTATGGGCCGCCGCATGCGCACGCGTGTGCACCAGGATGCGCCGTCTGGAGGAGAGCGTTGTACGGGTACCGCACGTTGCGCCTGCGGGCACTGGCATGGGGTGCGAGCTGTGCCCTGTAAGAAAGTGTTCGGGCCTCGCGCGGCCGGCAGCTGCGTTTGCAGCGGTGTGATCTCAGCCGGCCCCCTAGCTGCGGGCTCCCAGATCCCCGCGGCTGCCCCTGCCCTGCGCCGGCGCCCCCCAGGCCGACTTCACGCCGCTGGCGGAGTGGGTGCGCGAGGCGGCGCTGTTCGACGCGGTCGCGTCGGTCGGCTTCTTCAAACACTACCTGACGGGCCGCACATTCCGCGCATGGGCCAAGGTGTGATTCGCGGGGCAGCAATCCCTGGGCTTGGGCCATTAACTCAAGCCCACGCTTGGTTCTTCTGGCACTGGGCGATGTCTAGACTTGCGTGTCTTGGCGGCTGCCTGAGGCGTCCTTGGTGATGTGTGGGGCATGGTTGGTCATGCCCCACTGTATGGATACGAGGGCATGGGCTCTGGAGCCATCAGAGGGCCGGGGAGAGCACGAGCACAACATCGCGCGCCGTGTGCGCGGGCGCTCACTCCGCGCACGCACCCAGGTCGTCCGCCGCAAGCACTTCCGCCGCGTGCGCGCGGCGATCGCGGCGCGGCTGCTGGTGTCAAAGGAGAACTTCCAGCCGGCGCTGCGGGAGATTCAGGGGCACGTCGCAGATCTGAGATCCGTCAGCTTCTGCGCCGCCAACGCCAGCCACCTCCATACCCTGCAAGGTACGGCGCGGCGCAAGAGTGCGCTGCCTGCGCATGGCCCTGCCGCTGACCCCGAGCGCAGCTGCTTGGGGCGACTCCGCTAGACAGCAGGGGATTCAGACTGCACGCACGCTTGTCGTGGGGCCGTGCTGGCTCGCAAAATGGGGGTTTTAGGACCATAATGACCTGGCAGCGCAGAGCCCTCTGCACCTGGGACTTGCACGCATCCAAGGAAGGACCGTGGACACCCTGTGCATCCCTCATAATTGAAATCGCAGAGTACGTTGAGCTGCAGCAGCAGGCGCGGGACGCGCGTGCTAAGCCGGCGGTGGAAGCTGTGGTGGAGCGCGTCCAGAAGGTTTGATTTTGTGCGCACGCGCGCGCGTGTGTGTGTGTATGTGTGTGCATGCGTGCGTGTGTGCATGCGTGCGTGTGCATGTGTGTGTGCGTGTGTGTGTGTGTGTGTGCGCGCGCGCGTGCGTGCATGCGTGCGTGTGCGCGTGTCGGGAGCCGCCTTGCTGCGTCTGTGTCAGGCAAGCCATGGGCCGACAGGCCCGGCGCGCCCTGCCTCCGCTGGCCCGCCTGCCCCGGCCCATCGCGCCCCGCACGGCCCCAGCGGCCGGCCCACGCACCCGTGGGCGGCCCAACGTGCCTCCTGGGTGATGCTGCGTGCGCAGGTGCTGGAGCGTGTGTGCCGCGAGGTGCAGGCGCAGGCGGCGCTGTACCAGGAGTCGGTTAGGGACGAGGCTGAGCTGGCGGACACGACGGGCGTGGAGCTGGGGCAGGTGTGTAATTGTGTGCGTGTGTGCGTTTGTTTGCGTGTGCGCGTTATGAGCGCGTCGTGTGCATATGGGAAATGTGCAACTGTAGGTTGATTGTGTCTGTTTGTGTGTGTGGTCAGTGTCAGTGTGTGTATGGGAGGCTCTCTGTGGCAATGTGCCTCTGCAAGTGTTTGTGCCGCAAGGTTGTTGTGAGGATGAGTTGTGAGTTTTGAATAGTCGAGAATGAGAGCAATGCAGAGCCAGCAGGCAGGAAAGGAGCGACGCTCACACGGGTGGTTGATTTGCAGTCCTTCGGCAGAAGGGGGGGGTTGTACAACATCCAGTTGTCAATGACTTGCTGGCTTACGTACGGCTTCCCATCGCAGCAGCGCCGGCGACAGGGCTCACTTCCGTGGCCTATCCCACGCCACGCAGGGCCGCTCCGGCGCCGGCCGCGCGCGCCCGATGGTGGTGGTCAAGAAGGAAAAGATGGAGCGCGCAGCAAACTACGCGCGGTGAGCGCACGCGCGGCCGGCGCCAGGCCGGCTGCGGCGCCGCAACACGTGCCGTCCCTGCCCCTGCGCTCGCGCCTCCGCTGGCGTGCCTGTCGCTATGCCGTCAGCGTCCCTGTACAATTCGGAGTTCAACAGCTCCAAGGTGCTCGACAGCTCAGCACCCACCCCATACGTCGTCGGCCCGGCGCACGGCCTTGCCTGGTCTCATTCAAAAACGGTCAAACCAGGGTCATGGAGGAGCTGTCTCTGCTGGGCAATTTCGTCCGCCTGGCGGACTACCTCCTAGTCGGCGGCGTCACGGGGCGCGCGCTGGCGGCGGCGGAGGACACGCTGGCGCTGCTGCTGGCCGGCAGGGAGGCGGTGGGTGCACTTATAGATACGCACACGCACGCACGCACGCACACGCGCATGCACGCACGCGCGCAGACGTACACAGACGGGCCGGACGTGCCGGGCGCGTCGCCATCTGATCCGCCTGGGTTCAACACCCCGTTCAGCCAGCATGAGCAGTCACGGCATCGGATCCACATCTGACGTCGATTTAATCGGCACCTGCATTTGTATGTTGCCTGATGAACAGGGCGCAGCGACCAACAAGGGTGTGTTCACAACGGTCGTGTCGTTCGTGCCGGGCGGCGGCACTGTCTTTGCGCCCGACGCGCCCGCCGTGATGGATGAGATCAATGGCAACACGATAGAGGGCGCGCTCGCGCTGGCGCAGGTGGGCCGGCGCAGAGGTGTCCAGCCCCAATCCGGCTATTGTTCCACCATCGTTGTGTTTGTGGGTGGCAAAGGGGCACCCGGTTGCAGGGATGCCTTTGCCGCAGCTGATTTGGGTGCACAGACGCCGTGCCGCCAGGCACAGACGCCTCACCTGCTCATGACTTTCGCGCGGCCCTGGTCCCCGCTGATGCTGTCGCCCCGCAGGCCGCGCCGCGTGTGCTGTTCATGCGCGCGTTTGCCTACCTCTTCGACGCCCGCCCCTCCGGCCTGAACCCCCTGACGATGCTGCGTGCGAGCCCGGAGTTCATCGCTGCGCGGCAGCGAATCAATGAGGCGGTGGCTGGTGACTTCATGGTGTGTGTGTGTGTGTGCGCGCGCGTGTGCAACGTGCGTGCGTGTGTGTGTGTGTGACAGAGGATGTGTGTATTGCGCATGCGTGTGTGCTGTGTTGTATCTGAGTACTCAGTTGGCGGCCTCTCCACCACAGCCGCCCTGATGCACACAGCACGCGCGGTCACACACTGCATTGCACACCCCCGCACCTCGGCTGCCCCCAAAAGTTCAGGGCAGCCGCCACCATGCACCAAACCCCACTTCACCACCGCCCGTCTGCCTTCCGCTCGCCATAGGCCGCGCGCGACGCGGCGAGGGTGCTGGAGGACTACCGGAAGGTCTGGGAGTTTGGGCGCGCCTGGGACGGCGACGCCTACGCTGCCCAGCCCCGCGGGCTGGCAGAGGTGCGCCCGCCTCGCATCCCGCTCGGCGTCGTTCGCAGGCTCCCTGCAATATGGCCCCGCTGTCTCGCCTCGTCCCGCTTGCTTGCTCGGTGTCTGACGTTGAAACTGGCTGCGGTGGGCAGAGCCTTGCTGCAGGCGGAGGGTCGTTGGGACCCAGGCCCCTTGCAGCTGCCTAGGGAAGCCCCTCGGCCGGTCTGAGGGCTCGCCGGTTTCAGCAAACGCCCATGTAGTTCCCCGGCCCAATAAACAGCTGCCCGCACGCACTTCCCCCTGGGCTGGGCCTCTTGTCTGTTTGACTTCCCAGATCCGGCGGGACCTGGTGGTGCAGCGCAGCTGGAAGGGGCTGCTGGAGCGCATGAAGACCAGCCTGGTGGTCGGCTGCCTGCAGGTGGGAACCATTGCCGCCACACTTATCCATACCCACAGCCCGTTGCATGTCACCTCGCAGCAGGCGGCCGGCTGCAGGGCTTGCGCGAGTGTTGCGTGCAGACGGCCCCTGTGTCGCCCTGCTATCCCGCTTTGTCGCCGGTGCGATCTCAGAGGTTGCGTCGGGAACAACAAGCCCTGCCTGCTCTGCTGCCGCTGCCTTGCAAAACGCCAGGTCGACGCCAAGCCCCTCAAGGCGGAGCTCATCCCTGTCACACAGGCCGCGCAGGTTTGCCGCGAATGGTTGCCCGCTCATGCTATGGTTGTAGGCGTGGTGGCAACGTCAAGCAAAATCTACGCTCCCCCGCCCTTTGGATCATAGCCAGGTCTTGGCCCTGCCATGTCATGCCTCCCACCACATATGTTGCCTCAGGTTTTGAGCTCAGTTTACACCCAACACATACGGCACAAAGAGCTGCAAATGCTATTGTGTGCTGTTCATGTCAACATACTGTAGTTGTGATAATCACAACTCCATTCTTTACCCTACAGGAGCGCATCAAGCTGGTGCTGCTCAGCCTGGCGCGCGAGGCGACGCTGGCCGCGCTGGATGACCTCACCGCCCGCGTGGCGCAGCTGGCGTCGCGGCCGGCCACCCTGGATGGCTACATGGGCTACCTGGTGGGTTTTGGAGGTCACAGGGTATTTATGGGCTGCCTATGCCAAGGAGCCGTGGCTTTTTTCTGGTTGGGGCGGTGGCTGCTCACATTGCCACAATTGCATACAAATTTGCTGGCAATTACGTGTGCCAGCTGGCGTCACTCTACAAACGTCATCCTTGATCGCCACTTCACTCTCATATTCCTGGCCGCCGATGAGCTGCTTGCTGACCGCTTTGACCGATTGCAACACCCTCTTGATGCAGGCAATGCACCTGCAGCAGATTGAGGACCGGCGCCAGCTGGTGGCGACATGCGGCCAGATCGACGACATGTATGACTCGCTGGCTGCCCACGAGCAGAAGGTGTGCGGAAGCTGCCGCACTCGGGCCGGCGAGGTTGGGCCAGCTCGGACGCTTTTGGAGGTGACGATTGGCAGGCCAGCAGATGTAGCAGACGTTGGCCCCAGCACCGCCGCTCATATATCAGGAAGCAACCGTCTAGCTTCCAATTTTGCTGACGCGCTGACTGCCGCTGCGGCTCTGATGCGGCTTGGCGGCTCTTTGTGTTTGCAGGTGCCCACAGCTGAGCAGGTCAAGCACGACGACCTCACAGAGGCTCTCGCCTCGTTCCAGCAGCAGCTGGCAGAGGTGGGGTTTGCGACTGGTTTGCTCCTGGCTGAACTGGGCAGCATTTTTTCCATGTGCCGGGCGACAGGCCTCTGATGATACCCCATCAGGGCAACGGCGCGTACCACAGAATGCTGCCTGCAGGGGAAAGCCATGCGTGCACACCGTTCAGGATGATCCAACAGGACACGCACGAGGCAAGCTGACGGCCTCATGCCGCAGCTCGGCGGCGCACCAAGCGCTTCGAACGTCCGCCGTCCTGATCCTCCCACAGGGCAAAGAGTGGCTGGCTGACGCCAAGCCCGACCAGATTGCGGCGCTCCAGGCGGCAGTGGCAGACGCCAACCGCCAGCTGGAAGACATGGCCGCCAGCCTCCACTCGGGTGCGCGCGCCGGGCGTCCCACGGCAAGGGCATCCTAGACAGACCGAGCTGTTGGGCAGCGGTGGGGTGCTTGGAGCGCTGCGCAGTGACCAACGCTCCAAAATGCAACTCGCCCATCCACGTTGCTGCTGGCCTGACGGAGCCAATCGGCCTTTGGGGGGGGGAGTCAATAGAAAGGCGCAAAGGCACCGCGCGCCACCCGTCCGCTGCACCCCCCAAAGGCACCTACATTGATGCGGAGGCCGACCCAGAGGAGGTGGTTGCTGACCTGGAGGGCATGCTGCAGCGCCTGGGGGGCCTTGGGGAGGCCCTCGGCACGTACAACCAGGTGTGAGGCAGCCTGGATGCCTTGTCTTGAAGTGTGGGCGGTGGGGCTAGATGGTGGCTGCAGTAAGCATGTGTGTTTGTACATATAGTCAGGGGACCAGTGTCGCTTATACCGTGTCGAGCGAAAGCGGACGCGCGCACACACACACACACACACACACACACACACACACACACACACACACACACACACACACACACACACACACACACACACACACACACACACACACA